CAGTTATGGGATGTGTATAGGGACTACAAAATTGGGGTATCCAGAAAGTGGGACCCARTCTTGTGCATGGACCAGCCAAATATGGAGGGGAAGGTGGCTGGCCACGGGACAGTGTCTGCCTGCCRCGGCTGAGGCCTGCAGGGAAACTGGCTCCTGCCCTTCCTGAGTGGGTGTGACCAAGGCATCAGCTGCCCTCTTCAGGGCCTGGGTGATTACCAGGATGTCCCCAGTTTAATGAGCATCTGGTGGAAGCTCATTAGGCACTGGTGTTTTTGAAGGCCCTATGCTATTCTCCCCTGAAGAATGCCAAGAAATGTAGGCCTGTAGGTAGCCACCCAGTCAGAGGATGCTCCCTCCACAGCTCTCCAGAGCCAAACAAAGCTTTCCCTGTTCTCCCGCCACTCAGCTTCATGGCATTGTTTCCTAGTCCACATTAGAAAATGCCGCAGAGCTTGCACCCTGCCTTATCACACCCAGCACTGGAGGTCTKCGTCCCGTTGACGTCCCTGCAGCCTGTGGAGGTGGCTCCAAGCTAAACACTGCAGTGGAGACCTGAGTGTTTGCTGACCTGGAGAATGGGGATGCAGAACCAGGGCTCCACAGCGGGGGCTGTTTAATACCCAGCTGCCCGGTCTGATGGCCTGAGTTGGGGACTTGAATGAGGAGGGAACCAGTCTAGTCTCTGGGAAGAACCCTGTGACTTCCCAACAGGGCCTGGGATCTGGGGCACATGTGTGTGAGCTTGTTCTCAGCAACAGTTTAGCAAAACCCTTTAGTCTAAACATGAGTCGGCCTGATATTTGTGTGTAACTTTTGGTAGTGGTGAAAAGGTAGTTGAAGTAAAATAAATAAATAAATAAATAAAAATGGAAAGAGAAAATGAAATGTTGATGCTTCTCTACAGAAAACAGAACTTCCATTTACTCAAAGGTCAGCAGAAAAGCAAACTAAAACAAAACAACCCTCCAACGTGCATCTCAAAGTGAGAACTATTATTAGAAACTAAATCAGGCCAAGCCGAACCATAGTTTATCACAGAGAAAACCAGCCATTGGGAAAGTGTCCTGGGAGAGAGGCAGCCGCACACGCACACGTGAGGCCCAGGTAGACGCCTCTGGAAAAAGTCCCCAGGGCCCCAGGGCAGGAGGCGGACTCTGGGGACCAGCAGTGGCAGGGTGGTGCCGACCTCCCTCCCTTTCCTTCCTGGCTCCCTCCCATCGGGTGATGCTCAGCCTCCCACTCCAGCCTGGCCACCATTTTGCTGGTATTCCAGATGTGGGTTTTAGGTGGTGCCAAGAGGTGGGGAAAGTTAGAACAAAAAGCTGGAAGAGACAGGAAGAGGACGGACCGGCTCCCAGCCCAGCCTTTCCTACTGACGGAGTGTCCACGAGCTACGCGGGCCCCGCCCGGTGAACATCAGCTCAGCTTAGAGGGCGAGGAAATCGCCCTTGAATGACCGGCGAGTCCTGGGGACTCCTGAGTGTGCAGTGCAGAAGGAGCCCGGGGACGAGGAGGCCGTGTGCGGGAAGGGGCGGGTGCTCTGAGCCAGGCAGGACTGAGCCGAGTGCGCCCGGGAAACTGCGGGTGCACGCACCTGTGCTGCGGGAGGTACCCACCAAGGCACGCGCCGGGATCCCACCCCATGCCTCCGGTCTTCCCGGCACTTTCTTTAGCCACGGGGCCTGGAAAATGCTATTCCCGGAATTTCCTGCTTGAAGTGGCAGAGCTGGGCGGCAGGTTGGGGAAGTGCTCCTGGAGGCGAGTCTTCCCCGCCGGGGCTTAAGGCCCAGGGYCCACCCCCAGGGCGGGCAGACTTGGGCAGCCACCCAGAGGAAATCCTTGGGCCCCGAGATGCTCGCGGTTTGAAAGTTGGTTTCTTTTTAAACTTTTGGACCCATCCAGCCGACGAGGTCTTTGTCCTCGTGGAGGGGACCAGCCAGACCTGCCGCGCCTCCTCCCGCTGGACACTGCGTTCCACGCCGAGCAGAGGGACGGCGGCGAGGAGGGCGGTCCCCGTCGCAGCTCCAGCCCCGCACTTCCCCGCACTGGGTCAGGGACTCCGGGCCTGCGGGGCCGCGCCGGGACTCGCGCGCGGAGTTTATTTAAAACTCGGAAGCCGGCGGCCGCGAGCGGCTTGTTTATGTCAACCCGGAAACACCCGGGGGGACCGGGGCGGGACCGGGCGGGGAGGGGACAAGGGAGGGGACAGGCCGGCGGGAGGGCGGGGGCGCGTCACGCCGAGGACGCGCTGCCAGCGCCGGGCTCACCGGCCGCCGCGCGACCCCGACATGACGCGGCTGGAGCCAGACCCAGAGTTCGACTTCGAGTTCCTCTTCGAGTTCGACCAGGGCGGCGAGGCCGCCACAGGTGGGTGGGCGGCGGGGGCCGGGTGGGAGACGCCGTCCTCGCCCGGCCCTGGGGACCCGGGCCGCCCTCCCCGCGCTCCCTGCGCCCGGCCGGAGCGGCGCGCACGGCCGGAGACGCGCTGACCGCGGGAGGCCACCTGTGGGCCTGCCGCCCGCGCGCAGGTGGCGACCTGAGCCCCGGGCCCTCGCGGGCGTGGACGGCGGCGGGCACCCGAGAGTTCGCCGAGGCCCTTCCCACCGGCCCTTCCCCGGGGAGGCGAATGTCCGCGGCGAGGGACTTGGATCTGGTCGTCCCGGGACAGATGGTCAGCGGCGCTGCCAGAGGGCAGTAGGAAGCCGTCCTCGGAGAGCTGCTCCGCCGGGGCCTGGGCCAAGGCCGAGCCGGGGGCCGGGCCGGGAGCCCCCCCGCTGCGCTCCCTCCAGGAAGGCTCCAGGCTTTGGTTCCCCTCTCACACCAGCGCTGCCACTGACAGAGAGCTTGGCTTCCTTTCATTTTCTGTTCTCTGTCAAAAATAAAGGTTCCAGTTAACAAAAGACCTGTGGCCCCTCCCCCACGCTGACATTCTTGAATAATATCAAGAGTGCGAATAATGACAGCCGGTCACAGGGCAGACTAGGAGAGCAGGGGCCCAGGGCCCACGCCCAGCACTTGGATGGCGCTCCACCTGTCTTCTTTTCCCCATTCAACAACTGGGTGGGTCTCCCCTTTATCCTGTCCCTGTCCCAGCCCAGTGGCAGAAATGTGATGGAACAAATAGGACCCTTGGGGAGGAAAGTTCCTCCATCTCTTTGGTGATGTATAAGATTTTCCAGAGCATTCACCACCTGCTTTTAAAAATCTGAATATCTTGTTTATCTTTTTAAAATTTTTTATCTGTTCTTAATTTACATGACAGTAGAATGCTTTTGGACGAATCACACATAAATGGAGTATAACTTCTCTTCTGGTTGTTGGAGAGGTGGAAACACGCTG